AAATTTGAACTAAGATGCACTAAAGTGCCAAATTACCGACTACTTGTGTCTACACACACACACACACACACACACACACACACTCTCGTTTCTGTAGTTCATCAGCAGAAAGGTGGGTTTGGGGGTGACTTGCTCTTTAACTCATTCGCTGCCAGTGTTTTTCAGCGTTTCCACTGTTTATGTAAGAGTCACAGAGCGTCGCGCTCTAGGATGATGTCGACGCCAAAACTAAGCGGAGATTCACCGCCTACATCAGGAAGAATCCGCGCGTTTCGAGCGTTATCCGTTCTTTCATAATCCGTTGTTGAATTGTGATCGGTAGAAGCTTTTCCGGTTCGCGTCTCACTTTTTTACAGCAGCGGCCCAAAACGATCCCCTAACACATGGTTGTTCTGCTTCCTGATCACGTGACGTATGTAGATGAAAATTGGCTTCAGAGCTGAGATGTTTGTTCTCACGGTGCGGGGGCTCGTCCGACACAGTAAAAAATGCCACTGATGACTTATTTCGACCACATTTTTCCTCCAGGTGGTAAAAAGTTAAACTTTTATTATTTTTTCTCATCAGGAGAAAGCCCCGCCCCCTCTCTTCTCCCTCCTGCTGAGAAGAGCCCTTCTGAGTCTGAAGAAGGTAGGGATGAGGTGCCTGCTGGGAACGCTGCAGCTTCAGAACCAACGTCTTCAGGTTTGGACCTCGTCACTGTCCTTAATGTGTCCGTTTGGTTTAGTCTCCGCCCACGGGCATCAACCCGTCTGCCCAGCCATGTGTGTGCCAGTGCACCTTGTCTCTTTTCAGAATCAGAACATGTTATTAATCCCAAAGGAAATGGTAAAGAAGGGGTTGCTCCAGACAGTCGGATAAAGAAAGGAAGTATTAAAAACAGTCAGAACAACAAGAAATGATCCGATTAAAACAGTTAAAACAGTCCCCAACGCAACAATTACAGTACAGTCCGTAGTCTAAAACCATAACCTCCTCGCATCCTGGAGCGGAGTTGAACATGCGTATTGCAGCAAGCAGAAAGGATTGTTGGTACCGTTCTGTGGAGCTAGCAGTCTCCCGCTAAACGTGCTCCTGCAGTTGGCCAGCTCATCGTGAAGTGGGTGAGAATCATCGTCTACGATGGCCTGATCTTGTGCAAGTCGTCTCTCCTTCACCAGCCTCAGCGAGTCCAGCCCCACTCCAACCCCCACAAACCCCTGCGTGTCCTCCTGCCACTACGGCAAGCCTGAAGGACAGCAGCCGCCTCTCTTCCGGGTTTCTGGATTCAAAGGCATAAAAACATGTTTAGGTTTGTCGTGTTGCTAGCGCACACGCGGTAAGGGAACATGACTCGTGAGCCGTAGTCGTAGGTTTTGACTTGGAGCTGAATCCAACTGAAAAAGCTGCAAACGCCCGGCTTTACTTTAAACTTATGGAGGAAAGAGTGAAGTTTTCAGAAATGTCAAATTCTGATGAATTGATCGAATGTATTTATTGCTGGGGTAAGGCAAAAACATCTAGGGCTGAAAGGAATCATCAAATGATTTGAATGGTTCGATTCATTAAATTCCTCAATTCATTTTTTACTGAGTTGAAGCTTCGTTAAATGTGCGCTCCACAGTCTGAACACATTTTACTGGTGCAGTGTTGTCATCTAGGTGCTGTTGAGGAAAATGGAGAACGTTGTAAACGTTGGAAGAAACGGTCCAAAGTGGGGATCTGAGCGTTCAAACGTAAAACAGTCTCACACTGGATTAAAGACACCCGAGTCTTTAGAAGCGATTTCTAGCCCGACCCTAATCTGGAGACAGCTCTTCATCCGCCTCGTTCTCGGCACCTCCAGCAGAAGCTGGTCAGCTGACCTCAGTGACCGAGACGGGGAGTGAGCAGCTAACAGCTCACAGAGATTCTGTGGGGCAAGGACAGCTTTATAAGCCAATAAGAGCACTTTATACTGAACCCTAAAACCTGTGCAGCGAAGCCAGAAATCGGTGTGATGTGACCCCTCCTCCTCGAACCCGTCAGTAGGCACGCTGCTGCATTTTCACCATTTGAAGACGGTAGAGGTGAGACTGAAGGACACAAGGTACAGTAGTGATGTAATAAACGCATGAATCACTGTCTCAAAATCACAAATGGGGAGCAGATGCTTAGCCTTAGCAATCCCCCTTAAATGGTAAAAACTAGCTTTAGCCTTACGCTAACATATGCTAATCTGGAGTGGTGCTCACAGACTGAATCTAGGATTCAGCTTCACTAAAGTGCGTCACATCCTGAACAGGTTAGCCTTGAATAAACCTGTCTGGGTCCTTCATGATGTCCTCACGGCCCGTCTAACTGGACTCTGGTCCTCCTCAGCATGAAAACACTTTCAGAAAACTGGTTGTGTTCTCATCTATTTCTTCCTGTTTTACGCTTGAACTCAGTTTTTGCTTTCTACACTTTAGAAGGTCTGTGTGTGGAGGCAGTGGTCGCCTCAGTTAGAAGCTAGAAGCAAGCACTTGTATGAATAATTTCACATGATATGATCTCTCATGGGTGAGTGAATCATTAGTGGGTACATCTTCAGCTGGTGGGAAGAAGGATCTCTCATCCTGGTCCAAATCAATAACTGTCCCTCTCCCCTGCAGCCTGTGGTTTAGGAGTGGACACACCACAAGCTGCAGTTCAGGCATTATCGCTCGTTTTACGGCCACTTAGCGTGTGTCGGGGCTGTCGTCACCTCGGATAATGGAAAAGTTCTCTGATGGATTTCATAGTTTGTGGGCCTGCAGTAACAACCAGCCCACACAGGAAAAGCATCAAAAACATCCACGGTGTTTGTTCTCAGTTACATTCAGGTGTTTCACTGATACATTTACCCAGTCAGGGTGCTTGTTTCACAGTAGAAGCTGTAGAGTTGTCATGAATGTAAACTAGATCTATGAAACCTAAAATAGTTTTTAGAAGCAGGCTGTAAACGTTTATTCTGCTGTGAAGTTTTAACATGGGAGTCAATGAGGATGGGCTCCTTTCTGGAGCTATCCCCTAGGTCAGGGGTCGGCAACCTTTTCCCATCAAAGTGCCATTACTACCCGTTTCCCACAGTAAAGAAAACACTGGGAGCCACAGCAGCCGCGGCGTTGTGGGTGGGGGGCCCACCCGCCCGGCCTGGGCCCACCCACTTGTACTCAGGCCCACCGTAAAACAGCCGAGAGCTGCTTTAACCAATCACATCAGGTGATAGAAGCCAATACTGTTCGCTCATGTACATAAAGTCATCTTTCCACAGAAGATAATTAATAAAAATATTTATATAAAATATCCAGAAGTTGTAGCCCGTCTGTGCCTACAGTATTTAGATATTTTTCACCCTGTTAGTGGTTTTAAAACGAGTTGAGCAGGTTTAGCTTTTTGATGCGTCACACGTCTCCTTTTAAAACTGGTTTAAACTGTTCAGAATAATAAATCCAGGCTCTGTCTCATTGGATTGTTGTAATTAAACTTTGTACTGAACAAAACTTTATGTTGAAAAGGATCCGTCCAGTTAGTTTTTTCTCTTCGTTTACAGTGATGGAAATAACAGCACAGTGTGCAGGACTCTGGTGTTGGTCAAGTTGAATGTTTCTCTTTGCAACAATCTTCACAAGAAGGCAAAACAGTTGTAGTTTTATATCGTCCACCAGGCCCTTACTCTGAGTTTTTGGATCAGATCTCTGATTTTTTATCAGATTTGGTGCTAAATACTGATAAGGTCATTGTAGTGGGGGATTTTAACATTCATGTGGACATTGAAAATGATAGCCTCAATGTAGCCTTTAGTAATATCTTAGACTCCAAGGGCGTCAGTTTGTTTTCAGGATTGCTGGGGACAATAACCATACATTTGAGTGGGGTTTAAAAATTGCTGGGGACAATAACCACACATTTGAGTGGGGTTTAAAAATTGCTGGGGACAATAAAGTAGGCTAGCACAGGGGTCGGCACCCCGTGGCTCTGGAGCTGCATGCGGTTCTTCCATCCGTCTGATGCGGCTCTCTGTGCTTGTAAAATAATGAATGGATATTTAAATAAAATGCTTTATATTTTACTGCATTAATTTTACATCTGTATGCCAATTCTAAATGTAAAGATTGTCTGCGTAAACCTGAACAGGTCCAACCCGGTCTACTGTGAGACCGTGTTGGGTCACGCTTGTATGTAATCATAGGCGCTTTCTGAGCTGACGAGGATGTGAGATTCTGGGATTCTCCTCAGACGGCTCCTGGATGTGTCGCCACATTGGAGACAGGAACAAGCACTATTCAGCCAAAGTTTCATCATCAGGGAACATTTTCTAAGTGACAAGTCTCTCTGAGAGACCGGGTTTGGAAAACACTTGTTTCAGTGGGAGGAACCTTCCCGCATGCGCTCTGGGTGGCTCTGGGGTTAATCAAGTTTAGTTGTTTCTCTTTGCAACAATCTTCACAGGAAGGCAAAACAGTTAAACGGCAGGTTACATATATTTCCATTTGACTGTTTATTTTGACAGATGAACTCGAGGATGTTGCTTGGTTTGAAAGAATAACCCCGACGCACACTGATGCGCATGGATGAGCTGACATTTTAATCGTTAACGCAGATAATTTTTCTGTTTTAAATGGGAAAGCTACCTGAAAGAACAGAGAAACCTCTTCAAGAAAGTATGGATGTTCAGTTGTTACTCCGATTATCGAGATAACTGCACACAAATCAGAATTTGTGTCTAAAATGTGTGAAAATGTAAAAGGAACATAATAGGTGGACTTTGTTGTTGTCTTTAGGTTTGTGGGGTAGGGAGCCACTCTGATTGCTGTTACACTCCTCCTAACTCGTTTGTGATCCAGATGAGCCGTGTGTGTGCGTGTGTGCGTGCGTGTGCGTGTGCGTGCGTGTGTGTGTGTGTGTGTGTGTGTGTGTGTGTGTGTGTGTGTGTGTGTGTGTGTGTGTGTGTGTGTGTGTGTGTGTGTGTGTGTGTGTGTGTGTGTGTGTGTGTGTGTGTGTGTCAGGGCGGAGATCAGGAAACCAGGGAAATTAGAGGCACAATTAAGCTTTCAGAGGCTTTTTCAGAGGAAATGAGCTGCAGCCTGCTGGACAGATGATGCTGCAGATAGCATGGAGATGTTCAGAAGTGGGATTAGATTAAATCTTGTGATGTTCCTGAGGCTGCATGCTGGAGAATCTGGTGAAAGGAGCAGGGATGACACAGTCAAACAGAAGAAAACCCTTCACATTAAAATGTGGTGAAGTGAGTGAGGGCACATGGTCTTCGTTTTTATAGATGAGCAAAATTCATCTTTTTTTAAGCAGAGATGAAGTCAGGGTTGTTGGAGGACAAGGACCTAGATGGTCTAGGTCAGAGGTCTCCAACCTTTTGGAGACTGTGAGCTACTTTTACACAGTGAAAGTTCAGAAGAGCCACTGCCATACTTACATCATAAATCATAAAATACATACATCTCAAAACAAATAAAGCTGAAGATATTTGAAATAAAATACAAGCTAAAAGTGATGAAAACACAAAATTCTAAATAGTTTGAACAGAAGATAAAATGTAAAACCAGAAACATGCATTCCTGATTCATTTAATCACTTAATGTTTTTCATTTTCTCATAAAGATCAGTTTTGCTTCACTAGTGAATAACTGCAGGTAAAAAGATGCTTTGCTGTGTTTTTTGTTTACAATATAAAATAAGGTCGGAGGCGTGTCCTTTCTCTGCCTCTGGACCAGCTGATCGGCGAATCTCTCAGAGGGAGAGGTCGCACGATCGTGTTTTTTCACTAAATGGGACAATCCGCTGAAACTGTTGAGGTAAATTTGTTGAAATAAAATCACAGGAGATGTCCAGAAGGTTTGGAAGCCCGTGTTCACCGCGTGTTAATAACTGAACAGCATTTCGTTTTCGTTACTGCAGATTAGGCTGCTCAATAATCACATTTTAATCACAAGTACGATCTGAGTTTTGAACGATTGTAAAAATAAAATGAGCTGATTATTTGCTCCTCCCTCATGGTGTACTCGGAGTTGCAAATTGAGTGCACCTCCCAACAGCGTTGCCAACTTTAGTGACTTTGCTGCTATTTCTAACAACTTTTCAGATCTCCTCCTTTGATTTCTTTTTCTGAAAGTACCTGGTGAACAACCTAGAAATAGTTCTGGTAACTCTTAGCTGCTTTCTGGGAAACTGTCGTCAATATTTCCTACAGGTTAGCGAAACCATAGACATGAATACGTAGACGCCCCACTGGGCGCTGGAGAGCATAACAGTGTTGCCGCCATATTGGGTGGGTCTCCTCACTCTCCAAAGTCCATGCAAAGTGAGCAATATGCCCCTTTCTGTGCAGCCTACGGTACAAAAACCAGCGTACTATTGAAAACAGATCACATGTGATTACTAGTGACTTTTCTAGCCTACCAGATATCATTTTATATTAAAATTTATTTTGTATAATTATATTTTAATTATCATGCCCCACCTTGTGTCTGATTTTGTGAAAAAACTTGATAAAAGGTTTTTTTTTAGTTGGGTAAGCACCTTCCTCAGTAGAAATGAATGCACTGGGGAAAATGGACACCCATCTAAAATGGTGGCCACTACAGCAGCTCCAGTAGACAGCACCAGTCCACGGGGCATCTACATGTGTGTCTGGACATTAGGGAATGATGTCGTGATGTTTCGGTCAGGAACGAAGCGGCTCTCAGAGCCAGCCTTGTGAGACATTCTGTTCCTCTGTGTCGGGATGGGCACTTTAGTCAGAGAGCGTATGTCTTCACCTATTTGTGATTGAAATTTTTGGTAAAATGACTTGATGTAATAATGTGATCTAGATTTTTAATCTAAATGTACATGTGAATTTGGAAATGTTTGCATTTACCAAAGTCATCAGGGGAACAGAATCCGAAGTGAGTGACACACACTGTCCACGTAGGCTCCTGAGCCTCCAAAAGAGGGCAAAATGTGCACTACACACACACACACACACACACACACACACACACACACACACACACGCACGCGCGCATGCACACATCTACACAACATAAATACAAAGTAGTGTAAATATTCTAGTTAATAAGAGATAAACTTCGTTGCTTTTATCCTAGTGAATCTGTAATTAACTCAGCAGGTAAACTAGTAGTTAGGGATGAGCGAGTACACCACTATCTGTATCTGTATCTGTACTCGAAATGGGCGTGGCACAACCAAGAAGTGGGTGTGGTTTACAGCAATATACTATTTTTAAGTCTGAAATTGATATGGATTGATCAGAAGTTGCTATGTGTATTGTTTATTTGAAAACTGTTTACAGAGCAGCCTCAGAACTGAGATTAAATGTTTTTGATCACAATAGTAAAGAAACTATTACAGAACAAGTGTTTCAATAAAATCAGAACATTAATATTTAAGTGCATGGATTAATACATCTGAACTCATGCAGTAGGAACTAGGAAATATGAAATACTAGAACCAGACACAACTTTATATATATTTTTTTATTTTAATTTGATTAAACTGATTTTTTCTTAACGTTCTTGGCATTTTGCCACACATAAAGTTAAACAAAACAATGTTGATTAAGGTGTGTGTGTGTGTGTGTGTGTGTGTGTGTGTGTGTGTGTGTGTGTGTGTGTGTGTGTGTGTGTGTGTGTGTGTGTGTGTGTGTGTGTGTGTGTGTGTGTGTGTGTGTGTGTGTGTGTGTGTGTGTGAGAGAGTGGAGCGGAGGTAGAGACACAGCACGTCAGCTCTGTCTTGTCAAATGCACCATGTCAGTTACGAAAAAAGTAACTAAATATTCAACCAAAAGAAAGGCGAGCTGAAGAAAACCCAGGGAAAACTGAAGAAATGTGAGCAACAGTGAAGCAAACACAGCGAGATCCGTTACTGTCTGTGTGTGTGTGTGTGTGTGCTTGGATGAGCCGGACGGACTGCGCTCCCGGCCGGCTGCAGTTTTGTGTGTAGGGAGGGGCGGGCGCTCTATGTGACTGGCCAATCACAGAGCGTGAAGACAGTCAGTTACCCAATGAGGATTTTCCTTCAGCACAATTACAGATATTTATGAGGTTTACTCGTTTCATGCTCGTATTCGTCAAAAATGCTTTATCTGTACCGGATACTCGTCTGAAACGAGTATCCGGCTCATCCCTACTAGTAGTAGCACATTCACACAATGTGTTAACAGCTGAAATAGCAGGAAATAATACAGTTAAAGAGCAGATAGTAGAAGAAAGCAGTAGAGTGTGGAAAGTGGTCAGTGTATCCTCCAGCAGTCTAAGCCTATAGCAGCATAACTACAGAGATAACTCTGGATAATCTATCCTATTTAGATGGAGGCATGTTGGAGGCAGGGCAAGGGAGAGCCGTCTTTACCGACTGTACACTCCACCTCCCTCTACTCCCCCACTTGTCCAGATCTAGGCTAACATCAGATTTTAACCATAGGCCCTATCAAATAAAAATGTTTTAAGCCTAGTCTTAAAAGTAGACAAAGTGTCTGCCTCACGGACTAAAGCTGGGAGCTGGTTCCACAGGAGAGGAGCCTGATAACTAAAAGATCTGCCTCCCATCCTAATTTTAGATATTCTGGGAACCACCAGTAGACCTGCAGTCTGAGAGCGAAGTGCTCGGTTAGGAACGTATGGAACAATCAGATCACTGATGTATGATGGAGCTTGATTATTAAGAGCTTTATATGTGAGAAGAAGGATCTTAAAATCTATTCTGAATTTAACAGGTAGCCAATGTAGGGAAGCTAAGACAGCTGCACCCGCTCCAGCTGCAGTCGCTCCAGCTGCAGCTGCAGCCGCTCCAGCTGCAGCCACTCCAGCTGCAGTCGCTCCAGCTGCAGCTGCAGCCGCTCCAGCTGCAGCCACTCCAGCTGCAGCCGCTCCAGCTGCAGTCGCTCCAGCTGCAGTCGCTCCAGCTGCAGCTGCAGTCGCTGCGTCCATAGTTGAGAGAAACGGGGATCCGTGCTGGGGTGACCCCCACATGAATCTGCGTATTTCCTGAATTAAATTTGATTTCCACAAAAAGACAATTCTCGACTAGAAATGACAGAAAACAAAGGCCCCTCATTAAGTAGGCCGTCATGTTTGGGTCAGGCGGGAAGGTTCGCCGGCGAGCAACCTCCATGGGAGTCTGGAGCTACTGGTAGCTTGTGAGCGACGTGTTGGAGGCCCCTGGTCTAGATGATGGCTGCAGGTGAACAGGAAGTGATGCGTACCGTGTTCTCTGGATGAAAAGTTATTTGAACAATAATTATTTGTGTCATCAGGTTGAAGCTGATGGGAGCATAGAGACGATGAAGAGCACCACCACCATCATCATCATCATCACCTTCATGGACCAACCGTTCTCACAGCTGGCTTAAGACTTTGGATCGCAGGTTCTGATCCACCTTTTCACCCGGTTCTGTTCACACCTGAAGCCTCACAGATCATCAGAATGTTTTTGGGTGTGATGATGAAGACTCCTAAACCCAGCTGCTGTCTGAGCTCAGAGCTCCAGAGCCGCTTTAGCCTGTGGAACGGGCTTGGGCTTTAGCCCTAACCCCCGCTGCAGCAGGAAGGAGAGCGGGTCTGAGTCTTTCATTTAGCTTTCACAGGCAAACCATGCACCGCGTTCATATCTGACATCATCTTCTTGAGCCAGTAGGAGCTAAATGAGCCTTTACAGGTGAATGAAAAGTCCCGCCCCTGTGAGCAGGTTACCACGCTTGCAGCTTCAGCCTGTTTTAATCCTGCATCAGACAGATGTTCCAGCTGTTTCCTCCGTTTCTGCTCTTATTCTGTTAGTGACCACATAAAAACCTCAGCAATCCTTTTCTCAGCTCGTCAGAATCTCGTTGGTGGTTTAGTTCGGGACGCGCGCGGCGTACCTGTGAACGGATCTGCTGCTCGTGCCGTCGTCGGCGTGTGAAACGTGAAGCGGCGGCCCCGCCCACGTTGACCCGACCCGTTGGAGTGGTGTGTAAAACCCCAGCTGGACCGACTCACCTGCTCCGTGTCTCACATCACTTTAAACTTCATCATGTGAGCAGAACCACCCGTTCACCGTGTGATGTCATGATGACAAGCTCTGATGCAAAGAAGCCACTTTTCTTCTCGGCTGCCGGCCAAGTGGAGGTTTTAGAAACGTTGAGTTTATTTTGGAACAAGACCTCATCTCAGCAGACGTCATCTTCCTGTGGACCAAACCACAAACGCTTTCATGTCCCAGTTTGAAGTCCTCTGAGGAGTGGAAGTGGTGAAGCTTCAACAGTACAGATGTATTAACTGGAGAGCATCATTACTAATTTACTACAAATGATAATAATGAGAATCAAGCATCGTTTCTGCGTTGCTGTCTGAGACAAACATCGGGCTCGTCGACACAGAAACCAAATAAAGCACCACTTTTATTCTCATTCAGAGGAAATGAGAGGATTCCCTCCGACTCACGGCTTTCTGTCACATCAGTGGCAGAATAAGACGTTTGAGTCCTTTACGTGAATTTAATAAACCGTAGTTTGGTGCACACAGGAAGCCCAAGCCCCGCCCATCTACTTCCGCATCACGGGTTCCTGGAAGAAGGAAAAAATGAACGGGGTCTACTCCGCTTGCTACGTGCCATTGATTTCACACATGATGTCCGTGAATTTCAAAGAAGCTTTTGGTACCAAGAACGTGTTATTTTCAAACGGGGGATGATATTTTAGGTTTTGTGTGAAAGTAAGTCCAGGACTACAAATGCGCTTCACCGTCATCGACCCAGACACGGAGAAAAACAGGGAAACGGGCTGCAAGTTCAGCACACTTCCAATCCTTCCTTCAGGAGGAAAACCACCATGAATCTGGTCATGTGGTGAGAGGCAGCTACGCTGGGGGAGGAGACTAAGTGGTGATGTCACATAAGCGATGTACCGATTTCTGGTGTGTAGTCGAGCTTTAACAAGCTGATAAATCTCAAGTACATGACTGGCGTGGTCGAAACACAATCATTAGTTTTCATTTACCGTAATTTCCGGCCTACACGCCGCTATGTGTGCTTTGAAGCCTGCGGCCAGTATCACGGTGCGGCTCAGGTGTAGATTTTTGTTGGCCAACAACCACTAGAGGCACTCTCCAGCAGTAAAGTGAGACACGCACGGCAAAACGTAATGCGTGGAAGAAGACGCTCTTTGATTTAAGCGGCACGCTTACACATCGGACACACCCTCGTCATGGAAAACACGCGGAGGAATGCACGTGCTGCAGCTTTCCAGTTAAAAGCGATCGATCCGGCCATCAAACAAGGAAGCAGAGCCACTGCACGGGAGCTTGGCATGAAAGAATCCATGGTGCGACGTTGGAGGCGGCAGCAGGAAGAACGCAGTCGGTGTAAAAAAACCACAGAAGCTTTCAGAGGAAATAAAAGCAGATGGCCGAGGGGTTTCCACGGTGCAGATCATCACTAGCCAGGGCTTACTAATGCTGTCAGCGCTGTTCTGTTCTTCTAAACATGCAGATTACCGGTAATAACGTGTCAGTGCTGTTTTTATTTTATAACATCCAGAAATATGAATGCTATCAGTGCTGGTTTCTTTTCTACACTTGCAGACACGTTCACCCGTGTTTAAAATTCGTTTTGTTGAATTAAAACAACGAAAAACCTCCGTGTAGCATCTTTCTGTCTAACTATCTGATGTCATGGCCGTACATGCGCTGTGCGCCGGAGACCTGCATGTGGCCGCTGCGCCGCGGCTTGTGTTTGAGTGCGGCGTGTGTGTGTAGAAAACCTTTTTTTTTTTTGTTGGTGCGGCTTTTATTGAGGTGCGCTCTATAGTCCGGAGATTACGGTAACTGGAGTACAACATGTGGTCCGGGTCTAAGGCAGAGCGGGTTAGAAACCCCGATCAGCGACCTGGAGCCGACGGGAAAGGACAGACTTAGACTCCCTATAAACATTTTAGATTTCATCCCAAACAGCCTCAGATCTAAAACACGTGTTTTAAACTTGTTCAGGATCCAGCAGGTCATCCATGCTGGACGTGGGCGGGGTCTGCACACACTCACTCAGCAAAATGTCCAGTTAGATCTAAATAATCCTCTAAATCCCAGAAACATGTACAGTCCACATTCTTGCTGTAAACATGCACTCGGCCTGGGTTCGACTTTCCAAACACATTCTTCATTTTTCTGAGAATCATGAACAGAATTCTGAATAAATACGATGGTTTTTACTGCAGCCACGGCTAAAACAGCGACAGCAGCAGGTAAATCACACCTGCTGTGGCTACGGGTCGCAGCTTTGAGCATGAACTGGTTCACTAACAGTAACGTATAAAAATATCTGCCGCAGTATTTGTAACACAATGAATGAGGTCCGTGTGGAAGAGTCCCACGATGCCAAAAAACAGAAAATATTTATTTACTAAACAAAAATAACTCTTAATCCATAAATGAGTTCTCATTGTGTCACCGTTAAACCACTTCTGTCTGGTTTTCAGTGGTTTTATTGGTCTGTTTGAGGGTTGGTGGGCGGGGCCTGCTCAGGCCTCTGCAGCCGACCAATCAGAAGGAGCTGGGTTTTCTGGGGTGGGGCTTTTTACATTTATTTTTAACAGGAACTATTTGGTCATGTTGGACTTGATTTGTGGTGATTGTGAGTGTTCTGACTGTATTCGGTTTACAGACATTTCTATACGTTCATTGCTCTGGGATCTAGAGGTTAGCCCTTTGGGGCGTTAGCATGTATGAAATAATGAGGTGGGAGCGTTTTAATGTTGTCCAAGCCATCAAATGTATTAATGTGTTCCTAATGACATGTTAATTTAGCCAATAAATGTGTTGTTTTCCACCAGGCTCCTGCTTCTTTGTTTTTATGAAAGACAAAACCAACACATTGAGTCTAAATCCCGGGAAAGTTAAACGGGCCTTCTGAGTGAAGGTCAGCTGGAACTCTGGATGCTCGCGCAGCGTGTTTACAAGAGCATCAGAAAACCAGACTATTGCCCTAAATAGACTTAATGCATGTAAAACATCAACATATATACTGGAAACTAATGTCCATAGGCTCCAAGTATGTTTTTGTTTCCAAATGGGAGGTTCCCAACACCACCATCTTGACCATGTCACACCTCTCGTCACGCCCGGACAATCCAAAAATGGGAAAAGAGGTGGGGCTGTTACGGTTGGAACAAGAACCAATGTAGCTACTAGCTAACTTGGCTAACCCAAGAAGCTAAGAAGGGGGACCGGGTGGCCGACCCGCACAGCCGACTGGCTTCTGTACGAGGCTGTAGTCATGCTGGTCGCCTGTGGAGATCTAATACAGACCAAGACTTTTAATTGCAAACAGAACCTCAGACCGCTGCGATCGTAGCTGTGCCCTTGTACAGCAGCTCATGCTCTACGCTCGTAGGATCACAATCGGCGAGACATTAGCTATATGCTAACCTGAAGCTAACGGAGTTTTCCCATGTGTTTTGCACAGTAGAACAACTCCAAAAGGAGGGCACCTCCGGTCTGCTTGGTAACAAAATCATAACTACGTAAGCTGATCGAGGATGAGCTTCAGTTCATCTCCAAGATCTTGGAAAAGGTTGTGGCTAAACAACTCACAGCTGCTCTTGATGAACATAACATCTATGGTAGCTTCCAGTCAGGTTTTCGTAGAGCTCATTCTACTGAAACAGCTCTTCTTAGGGTCTCTAATGACCTTCTGACTCACAGTGATGCAGGGGACTGTTCTGTTCTGGTCCTGCTGGACCTGACTGCAGCCTTTGACACTGTTGACCATCACCTGCTACTGGAGAGGCTGAGAGACTGGCTAGGCCTATCAGGATCTGCTCTGGAGTGGTTCTCCTCTTATCTCTCTGAGCGCTCCTTTTCTGTGGCCGTCTCCAAGTTTAGGTCTTCTCTCAGGAGACTCTTGGTGTGACCTTTGACCCAGCTCTCACCCTGGATTCTCATGTCAGTTCTCTTGTTCGCTCTTCCTTCTTCCATCTCAGGTCCCATTCTGTCCCGCTCTGAACTTGAGACAGTTCTCCACACCTAAAAACGCCTGGAAAAACTCTGTTAGCTTCAGGTTAGCATGTAGCTAATGTCCCACTGATCTCTGCTCGTGGAGAATGAGCTGATCTAAAGGGCCAGGGCTCCAGGTCGCAGCGGTCTGGTTCTGCTTGTAATTTAAGATTCCCAGTCCATTTAGGTCTCCACAGGCGACCAGCATGACTACAGCCTCGCACTGAAGCCAGTCGGCTGTGCGAGCGGGCTACCCAGCATTCCCCAGTGCCATCCTTAGCTTCTCGGGTTAGCTAAGTTGGCTAGGAGCTACATTGGTTTCATTTGTTCTAACTCTCTTCCAAACGCAACAGCCCCGCCCTCAGCTCCACCTCTTTTCCCATTTTTGGATTGTTTGGGCGTGACTCAGTCCAAAAATCACTGGTGGGAACCTCCCGTTTTTGGCTACAACTTCCCCCCCGGCGGAGCAATGGGCGGGCTATGTCCATATTTTTGTATGTCGATGTGCCAGACCCTAGTGGATGAGAGTGGAACTGCAGTTTTTGCCACTTCCTTGTTAGCTTCAGGTCTGAGAGCCTGGGTTTTCCCCATGATGTAAACACGTTAGTCTGGCTGAAGGCTAACTGGTTCTAACCGTGCTGAAGCACCCAGATGATGCAGTAGGAAACTGTCTGCATCTAAATGGATCGGTCGTCCTGATACCGGTACCTTCCGAAAGTGTTGAGACCGCGGAAGCAGTCTTCTAATTATCATCACCGCAAAGTAACACCGTCAAACCGCCCAGCCCGTACCAAATCTGTTGTCATTGTGCACATCCTGTTTCAACTCTGTCTGTTTCACTTCAGATTCACAGACATCGTGTGTGAGGTCCTCAGCACATAACAAACAGGATTAGAAAATAGCCTTTTTAGCCCCGTCGACTTATTTTCTAGGGCTTCCGGGGATCCATGGTTCGGAAGTAGATGGGTGGGATTTAGGCTCGCTATAAGCTAACCGGAAGAATGCTGACACTAACGAGCGTGGAACGAACTTCATCTGAGTTCAGCTTTCCGAGTGCTGTAAACTAGGATAGAGGCTCCCAGTTTATTACTTTAGGTCGACTTCGATGCAAATGTGAGCACCGCGTGTAAAACCCCACGGTTCCCAGTGCTGTTGGCTCTCATGTACTCACATGTTTGGCTTCTGTTAGCATGAGGCCTTTAAAGAAGTGGTCTAATAAGAGAGGAAGGTGGTAATTATTCCAACTCTAACCCTTCCGACCACCATGGTTGGGAATCAGCATACAGCCAGTGTGTGCTGCAGGTGACAGCTGGGCACCAGCGGGGGGTTTCGTGTGGAGCAGCTCTGCAGATGTTTCAGCCTGAAGAGGAAAACTAACGCTAACGTGGAGACGCAGGACAGCCTGCGCCTGCAGCTCTCAGGCATCTTCTGCTGCGGGACGTTTCTCTCAAACTGCGACCCAATCCTGGCACTTGCTACTTTCAGCTCCTCCTCCTCCCACCGTGGTCAAGTCTGACAAAAACGCACACGTCACTGGAAACTGGAACATTTTTGCCCTTCAGAATAAGAGGCAATGTCGGTGTCTCACATCAGACAAACCTAGACCCTTTATCCTTCTAGAGTGTCACCAATGCTTGTTTTTGCTTGTTTCATCATTGTATCAAGCAACCACGCCTTTAAACAACCTTTACTGCAACCACGCCTTTAAGATTCAGATTCAGATTTATTGGCCAAGTAAAATTACATTTACAAGGAATTTGTCTTCGGTAGATGTTAAACAACCTTTACTGCAAACATGCCTTTATTTGAGTCCCGTATCACATTTGTGTTTATCCCTGTGAAATGATCAGAAAACAGTCACTGGATCGAAATCATTAACTCAACCCAATTCAAGATGGCTGCCACATGAGTCAACATCGGCTAACAAAGAAGCTCCACCAGTTTTATAACCTAGAACCTGAGACAGACAGTAGCCACGCTCTATTATAGCGACCTGACTGGGTGGCGTCGGTCTGGGTCCCGCAACGATAGGTTTGTTCACACACACACACACACACACACATGCATACACACACACACACACACACACACACACACACACACACACACACACACACACACACCTCAGGAACAGAGAAATTACTGAGTATGTGGGCGGGGTATAAGACATGCGACAAAGTCCATGGTGTCTGCCTTACAAACGACGGCTGTGCCCACGCGTGTGTGTGTGCGTGTGCGTGCGTGCGTGTGTGTGTGCACGTGTGCGTGCACAGCTCCAGTCAGAGGCGACATTGACTTCTCATTATCCAGAATGATGGTGAACGCTAACCCTAACTCCGCGACAAAACAAAGATGGCGGTGGCTCGATTGAAACAGCTTTGGCATCTACTCTGTACTTTATCCAGAGCAGGTAGATGTACTTGAAGTAACAACAGATACTTTTTTAACTTTAAGCTAGAGCTTTAACATTGATCTCAGTGATAGTTAGAAATAGAAAAGACTTTATTGATCCCACAGTGGGGAAATTCACTGGTGACAGCAGCATTACCCCTTAAGAGAATGACTAGAAGAAGAAGAATGATGAAGGTACATGTATGTAAACACATAAGCAGTAAGTTATTAACCTTCAACCACTAAAAAAACAAACTTGGATTCCAGAACTATGCAGCATTCAGTCAGGGACCCAGACATCCTTTGTAAATCTGGTATTTCACGGGTATTGAGCACATACTGAGTATTGATCTGACCAGACAAAACGGACACCACTCTGCAGCCCTTTGCTGATCAAAAACTGCACTAGATACTTTTGTGGAGCGGCTAATGCTCTAGGGGGCATTTTTTACCTGCTTTATGGCTTTTAGCAGTTATGCTAGCAGTGAGCATCTTCGGTTTGCTGATTGTCAATAAAAACAGGAAGTTGTTATTTTTTCTTATGGCATCATGCTGGAGCCCGGAAATGGAAGTAGGAGAGTAAGTCTGTGTAGGTGAGGAAAAGAGCTAAAAACCAGAGTGAACTTTGGCGCAGCCTACACTCATCTGAGGGAGCTAAAGGAAGCTACAAAATCACAGACTGATGGTGACCTGGCCTTGTTGCTACTGGACTTGTAAGTAATAGTATTTTTGTCCAGCAGTTTGGATCTTTTTACTTTGTGATTTAATCAGTGTCAGTTGGCTCATGTTAGTGTTAGCTTGTGGTTAGTGCTAACTACAGCAGGGTTGTTTACAGTTGTAATTCCACTTTCAACCAGTAGGGTGGATAAGCAGGAAACTGTGTTTTATTTAGAAAAAGGGTGAGTTTGCATCTTCTTCAACAGTGTATGGCGGACTGTCTTGTTGACTGACGTCCGTAGTGGTAAGTATGTCACGCTGTTCATTGTCCAATGGCATGCAGAGACAGTTTGAAAGACAGCTGTAGATTCTGCCCCAAGGGCATAAAAACGAGTTTAGTATTGGGGGACATGTCCCCCCGGTTCCTATTTCGCCCCACAACTGAGCTCTCCCTATGGGTTATGGCCAGACTATATATTGGCGTGTTTTGTTGGGTTTCACGTGACGTTACAACTACATCACCAAATGCAGATGGGGGTCTGGCAGTGGCCGGTGCCGCAGAAAACCCTTTTTACTTTGGTGAGTGGGCGTTAAAACGCTGAAATTCTAGGCAGTTTACAATTATTACGATCACTGTAATCGGGACAAAGATAAACGTTCATATGAAGTCCCGAATGTAGCGCGCCACAAAGGACTTCATTTAAAAAACGTACTGAAAGAAGAAGTGGATCAGTAATCTAGCTAGCTTTAAACCGGAGCAGAAACGGACGATGCTGGAGTTCACAGAGATCACTTTCTACCAGCTAAGAGATTACGGAGTGTTATATTCACTTGTAGCTTAGAAACAGCCATAAAAGCCACGGGTTAACAGTTTTATACTGTTTTCATGTGTCCTCACCGCTAACAGCTTTCAGAGTGCTAATGCTTTTAGCAGTTAGCTTAGTGTTGTAGCGTGGTGTTTATACTTTATCAAAATCAAACAAACCAGAACTTCTGATTTAAAAGGCTAAACAAATAGATGCTAGCCATACGCATCGTTAGCGTTATTATCATGAGCTAATGAATTAAAATAGCATAACTCACTACTTACCTGAGCAAAAACAAGAAGACGGTTATTTAAAGCTTCTCTGGATAAATAAAAGGTTAACCAACGTGGGTTGGCTATATGAAGGGTTAGCCGCAAACGTGGGTTTTACAGATAGGCTTCATGTAAACACTGATATCATTTTCTAGCCCACATTTAAAACTTTAGCTGGAACTTGATTTAGAGTGATTCACTTTTACTAAGCGGGTCGTTTATTCTGAAAAGCTGCACCGGAAGCTGCCCGTTTACCGGCGAGCACCGTGACAGCTCGGAGAAGCGTCGCTGAGTTCAGTCAGCCCGGTGCGCACTGAGGACTCACAGGGGTCACGGAGCCACAGCGTCCCGGACCAGACATTGGAACCGGAACCGGTACCGGAGGAGGGGAGAGCCGTCTTCACCGTCCGGACTCAGATGAACAGACAACATCCTCCAGAGCCAACATCCGTGCACGAGAAATCCGCGCTGATCCCGAGATGAAGGCGGTCGGGAGACCGAACGGAGACATGAAGCGGAAACCGAGCTATCCCGGAGAGCTGCGGGCCAAACACGCCAGCACGTCCACCAAGGTGTGGGTGAAGGTGGCCATGGCCATCGGCTACTTCCTCTGCGTGTCCGTGGCTGCCCTCATCCTGGTCATCTACTATGCGGTCTTCTGGGTCCCCAAGGGCAACGACACCGTGACACCGAACAGCACCGAGTGCGGTCCGAAGTAGGCATGGCGGATTGGGCAGGTGAGTGCACACCTGGCAGCAGGAGGTTCTGCATGAATGCAGGTGTTTGTCCTTCCTGATCCCTCTGGGTTCTTCTCTCCCTCAGAGCCCAGGTCTTCCTTCCCGGAGAGAAGAACCCACCTCAAACAGCTTTAGGAGGAACATCCGTTCATGTAGCCTTGAATTCATCCTGTCACTCATGGATGGATTATTCTGGTTCACTGAGCTGCTGGGCACAGACCCCCATCAGGACCCCCCAGAGGAGAACCGTCCTGCTTCAGCGACATTCTCCTAAAACACAACAGAAGCGTTTCAAGCCTCTTTAACACGTCTGGGGTTTGTTATCAGATGGTTTTATTCTAACAAGTCTTCTGGAGCTGGGATTAGCGCCGTGGTCAGTCTAATCTGGCCTGTCTGATTGTTTTCTTTGGTCCATGAACGCACCATGGCCAAGCAGCGGTGGGGTAGGAAACCGGTTCAGGGACTTGTTAACAACCTTTCATCTGGAATCACTTAACTTCCCGAGTCTCAAGTTTTCAAAGGTGATGCTCGGTTTGGTCCCATCAGGCGGTCAGAGCTAAATCGGTATTGGCTCTCAGACGCAGCATCGGTGCGTCTCTAATCAAAACGGATGGGAAGGGTCGTGCTTTCTCCTGTTTGGTGATGGGAGCAACAGCTCAGCTGGTTTGTTCGGTCGCTCAGACGTGCTGAAAACACTGAAGGGTGTCTGTGCTCGCTTGGCTCAGTAGTCCATCCACGACCTCCCGTGGTCTCCTCTCAAAAAGCCAAAACCGGAGACACGAATCTGCACTGAGGAGCCTCTTTCAACACTTTACTTTTGAACTGTTCTGTAGGAACGTGTGAAGCTGCGTTAAGTCCAGAGCTCACCTGGACGCCTCCTTCAGGACATTTCCAGCATCTACCTGCAGAAGGATTGCCTTTTTATTTCCACAACAGGAAGCAGTTTTATTCAGGAATCAGGGGGAAGTGGTACTGTAGCAGACGTAGCCTAAACCGTGATGTTCCCTCACTGTCGGAGACCTAAAACAACTGTGTGTGCCTCACAGAAGGAGCAAGAACATCTGCTGCAGCTTCACTTCCTGGTTTAGGCTCCAACCTGACATGTAAGCAGACTGTTTTATCTCCACTGCAGCCTTGTGAACCCACTGTTATACGATAAACTATGCATCTATTCCAGCGTGTGTGTTGTCATTCTGTGTCCTGAGCTGAAATAACACAGACGTGTCTCTGACGTCAGCATTACACCGATCAGCTGTTCCTCAGAAATCCAGCCGCCCTTCTCGTAAAAGCTCACATCTGTGAGATCTCTCCAGATGTGCATCCCACCAGCGGTGTGCTTCTCTAGCGTGAGGCTCGCTGGGACCTGATGGAACACCACCCTCTGGACCCAGCACTAGTCCAGCTCACTAGTCTGAGACGTCTTATTTTGAAGGTCAAAAGCAGAAATGTTTTTATAAAGTGCCCCTCAAGATAAAAAATCCCTCAAGAACAAGAATAAATTCAATTCAAATTCAAAGATACTTTATTAATCCCAGAGGGAAATTAGAGTTTCAGTACACACAATTCAGAGATCAGACATACACGGGCAAGACGCATGACAAGAACTGGTGACTGTGGTCATTCGCAACCCGAGTCGTGCTACCTTAATAGAGATCAGAGGGTTACATGAGGATTGGTTCAGGTGGAGGGAAAAAGAGTAGAAAACGGAAGAAATACAAAAATTCAAAAGCTAGAGAGAATAATTGTAGAATCGTGGCTCGTCTTGCATTTGTGTTCAGAGAACGGTGATTTTAGCCATCCTCACCTGCAGATCCTCCACCAGGGGGCAGTAGACAAAGAAGGTACTAATCCTGATGCTCCATCCGGAGGTTTTTACACCAGAAGGGATAAGAGGCGATAATCTGAAGAGATTAAAATGTTTCCAGTTGTCGGATTTGTAGATCCTGAGCTGGATTTTGGTGCCACAGTCAGAAGATCTGACCAAACTTCTGTCTTCTGCTGAAAAGCATCAAATACCAGGAGTGTAATGTCTGTTTAAATGTGTCATTCAAAAGGGGCGGGGCTTGAAGCGTGCACTGCAACCAGCCACAGGGGGGTTGCAGTGTTGTGTTTGTGTAAAGTCACACACACACACACACACACACACACACACACACACACACACACACACACACACACACACACACACACACACATCCAGATAGCTGTTCTTTTGGTTTCTAGCTGAAAAAAATGGCTGTGTGATTAGAAACCGGCTGTGGAGCCTCCAACGTCCACAAGTCGACTTAGGCCGGGGACACACTGGCCGCGGAAGCGCCGCGAAGCGCTGCGAAAATGGGACCGCCTTCATTCGGCGCCCTTGTTAAGCTATTCTATAGACCACATGGGCCGCCGAAGCGCCGCGAATCGCCTCGCGCCGGCACACGCCGGCGCTCCAGCCCGCGCCGTGCAGCGATCATTTCGGCGTTGGCTCTATTTTTTTCGCGAGCCGCGGGTGAATCGCGTCAATTCTGGCAGGAAGTCAAACGTAGACATAAGAGGCAGGCCGGTAAAGTTAACAAAATAAAGCATTTCAAAATAAAATTCCGCAATAGTCAAACGTGTTCGTAAACAGACACTGCAGAAAAACCACACGAACACGCACACACACACACACACATCGAACTTGTGTGCGTGTGTGACCACGTGAAGGGGGGAGTGGTTTTGGGTGTCTTTTCACCGGAGCAAACAGGACAGAGAGGCAAAAAGTCTGAGGCAAGCAGTTAGGATGGATGACTTTAAATGAATTATGGAAGTTGAGGAACACAAGGAGCTGTACGACCCCCGAAAAACATGATTGTTTACGTACCCATTTCTGAAGAAACTGCTAGGATACAGCTGCAGAATTGGAGCGGGTTCCAAGAGATTCAACTGGCAGAAACAACTCATACCATAGGTTCACACACACACACACACACACACACACACACACACACACACACACACACACACACACACGCGCGCGTACAAACACTCAAACGTAGGAAAAGAGCTGAGAAAAGGCAGAGAGGAAATTGAGGACACCAAGTAATTAAAAGAAAAACTACAGCTGAGTCGAGGCGCGCCTCGACTGGGGCGCGTCTGATCTGAACTGAGGAGCGGCGATCAGCGGCCGAATTTCGTGAGCGATTCGCTTCTCGGCGCTTCGCGGCGCTTCCGCGGCCGGTGTGTCCCCGCGTTAAATGGATTAAAGACTGAAGATCCGTCGGCGGCTGGAAAACAAAACCGTTTCCATGAAAAGCATAAAGTGACTAAAGTGTTTGAGTAATTAATTATTTCCTCAAACGTCTGCTGGGTTTTATTTCTGGAGGAGGCCCAAATAAACTAGTCTTCATTTAGACCGATGAGGTAAAAACGCTCGTGATCGATTCCTCGTCGTTTTAGTTCTTCTTACATAATAATAATAATAATAATAATAAATAATAATGAATAATAAATCACTATTTAAATTTCATTCATTCATATTTAGTCCAAACAAGCTGATTATTAACTATAATGTTACACACACCTAAAGTAGGAACATTGTACCTGCTGGGTTCTGGTTCTGGTTCTGCTGGGCCGTGACCCACAGACAGATCCTGGTTCTGGTTCTGCTGGGCCGTGACCCACAGACAGCTCCTGGTTCTGGTTCTGCTGGGCCGTGACCCACAGACAGATCCTGGTTCTGGTTCTGGTTTAGCTCACCTGTACGCGTCGGGGTGATTCCAGTCCTTCAGGACGACCAACAGCCTTGAGATTTCTCCGTCGAACGGTAAAAAACGGTAAAATCGGGTTAGTTCGGTCCCAGCCGACGCTTGACCGTTGAGCCTTCAGCATGGCAGCCCTTCGCACCGATTCTGCTCCCAACCCACGCTGCTTCCTTTGTTTCTACACCTAGCTATCCCATCATGCACCGCGCTACAGCACCCATACGTCACCTGACCAGGACCCATGAACGCGGTAAAGCCGGTCGAGTCTAGGCAGGAGAAGTTTGCTGTTCTCTCTTCTTTCCTCCTGTCTGGTTCTGAGGTCCAACGCCCTGAACGTCCCTCCACGGCTGGAACGGATGCTGCAGCTTTACTGCGTTCGTAGAGAAACCCGTGTTCCTGTCTCACAGCAAACCAAAGTCATGGACTTCTACAGATGAGTAAAAAAAAACAGGAGAAATTATGGAGATGCAGCTGTTGTTTGAGTTATTAGTTTTCCAGACTCTAATGAAGACAAACGGCCCAGATGAAGCTGCAGAGGTCAGCTGATCTCCTGCTGCTCCTCGGATGACGGTGAACCTGCGTTTGCCCGTGCTGCCTGCAGTTAGGCAGACATCCTCTTTGCCCGTTAAAGACCTGCTCTACTGTTCTGATGGTTTTATCTGCTATCAATGCCTCCTTTAGGTCCTTATTGCTTCAGTCTTTTTGTTTTAGTGGGTCCGGCCTGTTCAGCACGTTGGTCAGCTACACTGTGGTATGGTAAAATCAAGCCCCCACAATGCGGGTGAAGAATTGAGTCAAACCCGGAAGTACCAAAAATGCAGTTCCACCTTCATCCACTAGGGGCTGGTGTCAGAAGCGAGCAAATCCTCATTGACTCCCATGTTAAAAATACCAATTTCACAGCAGAAATAAACATGTTTACAGCCTGGTACCAAAACATGTTTTTGGTTTAAATGATCTAGTTTACACTCATGACAACTCTGAGGGGGGTGAATGTTTTTCTCACTCTTCTGTTTAAGTGTATTAAAAGCCTAAAATTCTGTATAATTAATGAGCATCAGACCCACGTGACCACAGAGCTAGCTCCGGGGAAAGGCCTCAGTAGAGCCTCGGTCTGGCCTGGAAACTGCTCCGGGATTTTGAGTCTCTGTGTGTGTGTATTCTTGTTTGGATATTATTTGTGCAATTGTTGGACAAAATGACTTGCTGTGGCATTAATTGCACTAATAGAGCATCCAAGGAGTCTCCACTTCATTTTTTTCAGTAAGTAAAATTATATTTATGTATTTTAGGTCACTGCCGAGCTGAGCTTAGATTTTAACATGTACTGTTTAACCATGACATTTAAATGTAATAGGGTAAAACCCAGTGCATTTAACATAATGCTGCACTTTAGAACATGGGTTGAAATATAACATGTTGGTGGAGCTGGGTTCCCACTATCGGCTTGTGGAGCTCTCGGAGACCTCTGTCTTCCACCCGGTTTTACCCAGCGGTCAGCCCGGCGTATCTCTGACTCAGAAGCTCTGGTGTTGTGCACAGTTAACTCCGGTTATAGCTAGGTTGCTACCTCCGTTAGCTTAGCTCCCACCTCCGCGTTAGCTTTGGGTTAGCTTCAGGTTAGCTTGTAGCTAGTTCGACCGGGTGTCGTCAGTTGATCCCAGCCTTACAGCCCCACCCTCAGCTCCACCTCTCTTCCCTTTTGTGGAATTGTCTGGGCTTGACGGAACCTGTGACACGGTCAAAATGGCGGTGGTGGCCACCTCCCATTTTAGCAAAAAACTGGTTATTGGATCTATGGAAACCTATTGTCCAATATTTATATGTCGATGGGTAAAATCTTAGAGGAACCAGGAGATGCCTCTGCCCGTCACACACTACACCTCAGCAGATTCTGCTCCGGACCTTTATCTGGCCTTCATGCATTATCTGTAGGAGCTCAGCCTAAACTGTGACGGCGGGAAAGTTCCTGCATCTCCTTCAATCAATAATTCAATCAGCAGCTGAAGTCGTCAGCGGTGGTTGTTCTTGGCTGCAGCAGCAGCAGCATGACCTGAAGATGAGCCTGGCATGACTCAGCAGAACTTTCTGTCCCGTTTGGACTGCATCAGTAAGGAACAGCAAACCCTCTGCTGCAGTTCACACCTCTTCCATCAGCCAGTCTTTAATCTGCTGCCAACATCTGCAGGAGGAAAATAAACCACACCGCCTCAATTTAGACAGATTTGAATCCTGTTACCTGATTCAGAAAACTGCAGATAAACCAGATAAATGTGATTTATTAGGAGAGAAGGAGCAACGGCTCACGTTCAGCTGCTTTAAATCACTGCTGAAGGAAAAAAGCAGCAAACCGGCATCAGCTCAGCTCCTTTATCTTTGCATCAAACAAGAGAACTACAACAAACAGTTGAGCTCAAAGAAAACAGAATTTCCCCACATCGGTTTATC